ACAAAACCACAAAAACACAGTTTTTAAAAAAGACAGCAAAAGTAATATAATGGAGTTTGTACTTACCAACATTGCAATCTGCAGCTGAGCAGTGGCTTACTTAATAGGAAATAGCACAGCTGGTTTTGTTTACCAAAAGAGGAAGGTATGAGGAAGGGAGAGGCTTAGCTTATGTCAGCTCCAGAGAGAGGAGAAATAAAGTAGAACTCAGAGCTGCATTCAAAGCACAAACCTCACACACATACCAAAATGTTTGCAACACACTTATTTAGTTTGACAGCTCATATAAAAAGTCTCTTACACACAGTGGACGGTGTTTTACCTTCATTGTATTGGAATGATTTGAAATGTTTGTTTACCAAGCAGTGTGTTTCATCTGACCGCTAAGAAATCTCTGACTAAATCATTCATATCTGATCAGACACTGAGACTTTTAAAGTGTATTGTTTCAACAACTAACTAAGACATCCTGACCTCCTGAATAACTCATAATGGTAATGCATGCTGTTTTTTGGCTAGTGATTCAAACATACCCACAGCAGCAGGAAGAGAGGGCACAGATAATGGTGAGAGAGAAAGGAGAGAGTGGGAGAGACTGTACAGCTGAACATTGTCCAGAATAAAAGTTCTTCTGCCATCGAGGACTTCACCTGGCCACTATTTATGCTGCATTCACGCTGCAGTTTAAAATGACCCAATGATACATTTTGTCACATATATGAGTTGGATCAGATTTTTTCAGTCACAGTTTGAACAGCACAAGGCACATTCAACTTCAAATCAGATTTGGGCCACCTTCATGTCTGAGCTCGGATCTTTTGAAATGCAACCTCAGTCAACACAGCCAGGTCAGGAAAGGAAAGCAGTCTGCATCACTCAGGACCCTTCACACCCCCTTCACCACTCGTTTCAGCTGCTCCCCTCAGGCAGTCGTTTTAGAGTACCACTGGCAAAAAAGAAAACTTACAGAAACTCTTTTATTCCCACTGCAATACGCTTTTTAAACAAGGCTAAATAAGAAATGTTTTTTAAATGCTGTGCATATGTGTTTTTACCTATTTAGGGTACTTTTAGCTATTTATGACCTAATGTGAGTGTTAGTGTGAATGTTTGTATGTTTTCATGTTGAGCCTCAACAAAAGGTAATTTTCTGTCACAATGTGATAGACAATAAAGTTTTTTTGAATCTTGAATCTTGAATCAGAGTGCATGCAACTGATGTCACTCTTGAGTGGTGCTTGTTACAGTTCAGTGCTGACAGGATTGCTGAGGGAAGGAGTCACTCTCACTCAATGAAAACATGGACAGCTGTGATGGAGTTAGTGGAGGGACAGTGTTGTGTTAGTATTTGGTGTGACACTTTTCAAAACACTAGCAATTATCTTTTGTTTGTGAAAGGATATGGAGAGAAATGGCCAAACGTGGCCACAGGAGACAATATGCAGTGTTAAGGACAATTTTATAGAATAACAAGTGGACAAAACTTCTTGCTTTCAAAAGTGAAGACAATGCTGAAGTCCTAACACTAATGGCAAGCAAGAGGCGACTCCACAGTTTACAAAGTCTTCTTTATGACGAGTGGAATCCTTTGTGTTTAAAACTTTACACTTCTTCTTAATTGAAATATTTCCTTAGTAAAGTTTTTTGGAAATGATTTTGGGTCTCTTGCTAGTTTAAACTGTTCTGCATAATATTAATCAAATGTATAAAATACGGTCCTTAATGGAGACAAAAAGATGATAAAAAGGGTACAGAGGGTACGCACTTGACCTCACAGTAGGCAACAGTCACCCCACTGAGTGGCAGCATCGGAGAACTCAAATACTTTTTCTTTAGAAAAAGTAAAAAGAAGCAAAAACAACACTGCAAAATGATTTTTGTTGGTTCCAAAGAGTTTCTCTTCCTGTGGTGTTAGATACAGTTAGAGTGGTTTTACTTCCCACAATCTGCTTGGAAGAACATCAGGGCTGAACTGATTTAAAAAATGAAAATATTGAATTGAATATTCTTTGTGTACTCCACAAAGAAGTCACACAGTTAGCCAGATAACTTTCAAAGTTTCCACTACATATACTGACATTTTGTTGATCATTAGCAACTTCATGGATGACTGAATCATACCACAAGGTTAATTCTGTAATCCTGTTTTAAACACGGGTGAAAACATGTCTATTTGTCTGTGCAGAGAATAAGAAAAATAGATCATTTTATGAAAATATATAGTACACTGCTATTTAAACTTTTTGTTTTATTTCAGTGAAAGATAAAGTGATTACTGCCAACTCTTTGAATACATGCAGAGTTTAAGTTTATTCAGTTTTACTTCCACTTTATATTACTGTCAACCCACAGCCGATGATCTCCCAGCCCCTCTGCTGCATTGCCAGTATTTCACAGCAAGAAGTCGAGAGCATCATCCGCAGAATGAAACCCACCACCTGTGCCCTGGACCCCTTCCCCTCAGCCCTGGTAAAATCAAACATCCACGCCATAAGTCCACCAAACACAACAGTCATTAATCCCTCCCTACTGTCTGAAGGGATTTCCAACCTCCCGTTCCCCTTACAGGTTCTGGAAAAAGCAGTTGCTGCCCAGCTCCACGACCACTTACAACTTAGTAACGTCTACAACAAATTCCCGTCTGGCTTCCGCTCTTCCCACAGCATCGAAACAGTCCTGGTTAGGATCACAACTGACCTGCTGATGGTAGCTGAGGGCGGTTCTCCATCCCTGCTCATCCTCCTCGATCTGACTGCAGCATCTCATCGACCACAACATCCTCCTGAACCGACTCCACAGCACTCTCAGACACTAAACTGGTTTCAGTCCTACCTATCTGCAAGGACTCAATACATTGAAATTGCAGACACCAAGTCCTGCACACACCCCGTCACCTGTGGCGTCCCCCAAGGATCAGTCCTCGGCCCTACCTGCTTCACCCTCTACCTGCTTCCCCTCGGACACATCATCACCCGACACACGGAAACTCATTCCCCTGCTACGCTGACTGTGACAAAGTGGACTCGACCAGGCCATTTGTCACTTAGGTCATACTAATATTCCAGTTAATGTTATTTATGTATTTGTTTTATGTTTGTTTAATCACCTGAATGTTAACCATGAACTCCTAATATAGCATACACAATACTATCCCGGGTTTGTTTTGAGTAGTGCTATATTTAGGTGGCATTTGCATCTTTTCTTAATGCAGGTTAACATAAAAATAACAATGACAGACAAACATGGTTTATAATTATAGTACCTTTATTAGTAGTTAGTGATGTTACGTTTGACACCGAGGCTTTGAAGCATGTGTCGAGTACGAGGGGCTTTTCTATGTATCGAGGCTCGTGTCATTTTCAGAGAAGCGCGTCATCGATGACAAACGAGGCCTCACTTCGAGTAGAACTACGTCATTGATTTGTTTGTGTTTCGGGTTGTGGATAAAAGGAAGCGAAACCCACTTGTCATGTCTCCTCGTGAGTTTGCGTTAGTTGGTTGTTGAGAGTTGGAGTTTTGGTTCGATTTTTTTTTGAGAAATGGAGCCTGTGAGAAAGAGGAAAACGTCTCCTGTTTGGGAGCATTTTGAGTTATCATCTCCCAATAAGGTAAACGTTAAAAAAACATTGAAACAAAACATTTGTTCAGTGGTTTCTGGATCCAAACCCGAGCCTCTACGTCGACATTGGCACCGCCATAACCATTTTGCTACAAAGCTTTCATGTATTGATATGCTGAACCGCTTCAATTATTTCTGTCACTATCATCATTATCTGTGTTCATTATTGATGGCTTATTATTTTGATTTGAAGGTGAAGTGCTTGGTGTGCCTTAAGGAGCTTGCCTATAGCAACAACACCTCATCAGTGCTAAGGCATTATCAAGCTGTCCATGAGAATGTACAGCCTGATAATAGGCCAGGAACCAGACAAGGTTTGTACTTTTCCCCCTGTAATTTGCTTTGCTTCATCACAATCATACCGAAATACATGTTGACTAAAATACATTTTCGTTTTGTCCTAGGTTCCAGAAAGCAGGTGTTGGATGATGCTGTGGTCAACATGGTCATCAAGGACACTCAGCCTGCTGTAACAGTGTCACTACACACTGTTTAATGAGGCCTCGAGTAATGAATCTATTTGCGATACAATTGGCTGGAAAGCCTCAATGCTTCACACAGCCTCATTTTGCCATCACTATTAGTAGTTTCATTTCGTGGTTTTACAGTTATTGTAAGTCAAGTAATTTCCTGTGTCTACAAACGAACTTACCTGTCGCGGGAATCACGCAGAAAGGGAGGCCGCCCCATGTTTCCCTGTCTTTAAGCTTTCTGTGATGTTAGCAGTGCCGTCAAAGACGATACCATGTCTGAAGGGGAAGCTGCTAACAGTATCCGTATGGGAAAATTGCACATGTTGTGATGCCTTCAAGAGCCAGGTGCTGGTAATTGGGTAATTGGGGAGGTTTGGCTCTATAAAGGAGAGTCGTTTGTGCTGTGGGGGAAAAACAGGTCAGGAACAGACACCAGGACTTATGCTGTGATGAGTTTGTGTTTCTTCCTCAGTTTATTATGTTTATAGTTTTCAGTTCAGAATTCATCTTTCCTGGTTGCACTTGTAAATAAATGTCCACTGATGGGACCCTCAACACAGAATCATGAGTCTGCTTCCTACTTCATCACCACACCCTCTGACTACACTGCCTTACACTGACGACACCCAACTTTATATGAAAACCCACACCAACCACTCAGCCTCACCACATTCATCCACACTCACCACCTAAAACATGTATATGTATTATGTCTTTATTTATTTACACTCGAAAATCATTGAGAGCACAGCCCTCATTTACAATGACGTTGAGCAGGATAAACAATGAAAAATAACAAACATACATATACATATATATGTACACATACACACATAAGCATATGCATATACTGTATACATACACATATCAGTATATATATATACACAGCATAGATAAACAAAATCAGAAGTAAAGGAGTTAATAATTAAAGATCTAAAATGGCCATAAGAGACCAGTGCCTTGATTTTTAAAGTGCCTTGTAGCAAATTCCAAGCTGATGGTGTAAAGATGCCAAAAGCAGATCTTCCAGTATAGAAAATGTCATAAAGTCGTGGATGAGTCAAAACTTCCTCCAATTAAACAGTTCAAAAACTGAAGCCATCCTAGTCGGCACACCTCACCAAGTTCAGTCATCTCTCATAACTGCTTTCCTTCTCTGGTCAAGACATCCATCTTTCACCACTCATCACCAACCTAGGTGTAAAAATGGACCCTCATCTAACCTTTGAACCACACATAAAACACATCTGTTAAAACATCATTCTTCCATCTCAAGAACATTGAAAAACTCCTCACCTCACTCATCCCCCAAGACGCTGACTACTCCTTTGTCTCCTCCAGGCTGGACTACTGTGATGCACTTCTCATCGGGATCCCTGGCAAGAGTGTACAGAAACTCCAGAACAGCCCTGCCCAGATCCTGATGAGAGTGAAGAAACAGATTACATCTCATTATCCTGCACTCACTGGCTTCCTGTCTCACTCAGGATCAAATATAAAATCTCATAACTTACCCATCAATGCAAACACGGCAATGCCCCTCCTAAAAGAGCCTTTCTCTAAACCCTCTCCCTAAAACTACTATTTTTAAACCTTGTTTTACGCTCAGGTCCTTAACTCTGCCTGATTTTACCCGTGTTGTTTTTTTGGTTTTATTCCAATTAGCACTTTGAGATTTCTGTTCAAATCCGTAAAGTGCGTTATAAGTCAAATGTATTATTATTATTATATCAAAGGTGCACTGTGCAGATTCACTGAAACACTGGGACCACATTTTGCTCTGAGGACAGTTTGTGTATAGAGTCATGAACATACCACAGAATCTGTACACTTCTCCAACTTTCACATTTCTCTACCTAAACTCCAGTGCACATTTAAAAAATCCCAGTTTGTTTCATGTCTTGGGAATTCATTTGATCATGAGCTCATAAAGTCTGCCTGTGTTTTAAAGCCTTTTAATAAGCAGTAGGCTAATTAATTGTTAATTAGTCAATTATAAAACCTTACATGATGCTTATAAACATAAATAAGTCTATGTTGTTTGTGTTAATACAAACATATTTTACACATGTATTATTGTAATTATACATCAAATTAGAAACATGTAAACAGTTGATATACCGGTCATAAACATGACTAAAACATTTACTGACATGAATAATCGTATTCGTTTATTTAACCAGGAAAGAAACTCATTGAGATTAAAAATCTCTTTTTCCAAAGTGTCCTGGTCAAGACAGACAGCAGCACAATGAACAGAGTTTCACACAAACAACGAGCAGCTAAACATACAACAATATATCATTAGACATTAAAAGACAAAAATAACCAATCTGAACAGCAAATGTTCAGACTTCATGAGTGTTCAAAGTATAAAACACTTGTATTAAATGTAAAATATGAATGAAAACACAACGATGAGCTTTCTTACTTTATTTATATTGTTTTTTGGTACATACATCAATATTACATTCGTCAAGAGAAGGTCTAAAACAGTGGGTGCAGATGTAATGATGAAAGGTGAAACAAGAGAGCGCTGTTTCACTGCACTGTGAAAAGACACCATCAGAAACATGTTGTGGGTCATTGGATACTGAAACCACTCCTCAACACTGCACATATTTATATAAAATATAAAAAAATCTGTTTGTTTCATGCGGTTTGTCAGACAGAGTCTCTGGTTAGAGTACTTTTCATCTGTTTGTTTGTTTTGTTATTGCAGAGTGTGTACTGACTGTGACTACAGGAAACAGACTTATAAAATGTATTATTATCTCCTTACTACCTGCAATCAATATCAAAACATGTGCAATTGCTGAATCCATTGAAAAAACTTTCTTTGGAGTTCATGTTTCCTGAAAAGATTGACTTATTGTTGTTTTTTTAATAATTCTATAAATGATGTCTGTACCTGCAAAACTATAATGCACCTCCCTGCAGGATTGTAAATATCACATTTTCTACAACAAATAAAGGAAAAATGCACAAAACAAATAACAGCAAATAAAATAAAATCTTTTGTTTATCAGACTCTGTTCAGTTTTGTCTCCAGATTGATGCAGCAGCTCATGTTGTTAAAGTTAAAGCTATAAAAGCCACACAGTTAAAGAATGTAAATACAAGAGAAAAAGTCAACACAACTAAGAATCATATAACATCAAGAAGAAGAAGACGACATCACATAAAAAAAAAAGAAGATAAAGAGGGATGGATAAAAGATAGATCATAAAATAAATATATAAAAGAAACAGAGAATTGAAGACTACAACATAAGAAGAAGGCTAATTAGTCTGATTAGGAATGGATAAAAACTATTAAGAGCGAATGGTTGAATAAAGGAAAGGATACATTAAAATAATTAAGGTATGATGTAGGAAAAAGTTAAGTCTTTTAAATTGAAGTGGTCTAACAATGACAAAAAGCTTGATTGCTTACTAACTCTGACTCTCTCTCTCTGTCTCTCTCTCTCTCTCTCTCTCTCCCACCCCCCCCCCCCCTCTCTCTCTCTATCTGACTTCTGAGCCTGTCAGGCACAAAACAAGAGCTTTAAGTGAACATACAGTATTCAAGGCAATTGCAGTCTGATTTGTGTGGGAAGGATCAGGAGCAATTTTTTCCAGTTTTCAACTCTCTTCCCCTTCTTTGACTTTAATATGTGGATTTTATTATTATTATTATTATTATTACTGGTGAAGTTAATCTGGATAAGTGTTTTACTTTTTTTTTCATGTTTTCAATATTCCCAGTCTCAAGTGTTGACTTTTCAAGTCAAACACTATCACATGTCGTGTCACGTTCATTATCAATTCCATTTCCCACTTTGGATCAGTCTATGCATCTGTTGTTCCTCATCTGGTGATGCCACATTCACAAAGCACTGCAGGATGTCATGGCAGCTACACAAACCTCAGTCTGGAGCTTCCTCACATTTCACGACTGTTTGCATCTGTGAGGATCGGACACAAATACAGAAAGAGGTGAATGATAAATATTTAGAATTAGTGATTTTTGTGATAAATCAGGAATAAAGCAAGTCTGAGAGCGGTGTATGTGTGTGTGTGTGTGTACTGACATGATTGTAGATCAGCCGTCAGTCTCTCTCTTTCGCTTTCTCTTCATGTTTGTCAAAAGGATGCAAACAGCAAAAGCAACCCAAAACACCAACACAGGAGTCAGGAACAACCAGGACTGTGTGTTACTGCCACCTGTCAGAAACATATATCACCAACATCAGTAACATAAACATCATGTCTCACTGAGAAGATGAACATTCACTGTTGCTACTTGTGTCGTTGTGTCACCTGGACTGCAGATGTTCCTTACATCGACCTAACATTCATGATAAAAAAGTAGAACAGGTGACAGCTATTATGTGGGAGTTAAAATAAGTCTTACAGTGTCCAGTGTTGGGTTCACTCTTGCTGCCTGAGTTAAGTTCCACACAGATGTTCCTAACATCGACATGAAGAGTCTTATTTTCAGCAGGGTTGGCTGCCACACATCTATAAGATGATGTGTCATCATGTCTGTGTACAGTGAGAGAGCAGAGCTGCTCTGGTTGATTATTTCCTCGTCTTTGTACCACAGCAGAGTCGTCTCTTCAGTCTTATTCACCAAACACAGAAAGGAGCAGCTCTCTGCGCTCACGTTCACAGCTTCCACTGCAGGAGCTGCTACAGACTCTGGAGAAGAAAATAACAAGTAAACGTTTTCAGGAGGGTGTTGATGTTATAAAACCAGAGTTATGCCACAAACAGCAGTGACATTATTCTTTTAATAATGTACATTATGCTTTTATGTTGATCTACCCAGACTCATCACGGTCTTCAAACTAGAGCTGCATTTTCTGTTGTCGAGACACAAATCTGAACATTTCTAGAATTCCTCTGGGCATCTTTCAGATGTAGCAATACAACAATCAATTTGATTTCTTGTGATTTAGGTAGGCAATGCTATATATCCGCTCAAATAATGTAAAAATATATAGACTACTGAGGTCACTAAGGGCTAGGATGCCAATGACTGGAGTGAGTAAATACATGTTACTTACCATATACACTGAGTTTATGACTTGTTATGGAACTAAATCCTTTTTTAGGGTCAATACCATAAACACCAGAGTCATTCCGCTTTAGTCCTCTGATTGTGAAAAGACCAGTTTTGTTGTTCCATAAAAGTCTGTCCTTGTAAGTTTCCTCCAATATATCTATTTTTTTGTCCTTCACTTCAGCAATGCTACTTCCTTGAAATATAAAAAGTCCATTCTCCAAAGGATCAGGAAAAGTGATGGATCCTCCCTTAATGCCTGACTGGTGACTCTTCAACTTAACATCAGCAGATGAGACGATCACTGTAAAAAATAAATGTGTTAGTTAGGAGTTAGTTAGTTCTTTTTTAGATACATTTCAATAATATAATAAATTAAAAGTTTTAAGGAAATAGATAAATATCTTACTGCATCTTTTAAAGACAAGGACACCAGTGCAGTGTAACTTAAATACAGTAACATAGATAACTCAATTTACGGCCTCTAAAATCTACTAAACATATAATATAACAGTTCATTATGATAACTGATTCACATGATCAGGTGAAATCACATTTACAGGTATGTGCAGAAAAAAAGTTACCTAATAAAAAGATGATGATCCTCAGGTGTAACTTCATTGTCGTTTTCAGATGTCAGACCCGTTCAGCACTCAGGAGTGTGTGAAACCTGCTCATGTCACCACCAAGCAAAGAACAAGATAAAAGCTAACCTTCTTCTTTAAAAAGTGTAGCTTCCTGTTTCTTAACAAACAAGCGGTTAAATTCTAAATGAAGCTTCTCAAATAACTCAGGGTCCTGCTGCCAGAGCATGTACCAAAGAACAAAACTTATTTGTGTCCTTGTTTTTTTTTATGATGTCAAAGTAATATTCATATCACTTTTATCTTCAGTGTGCATAATTCAAACTCTTGTTTAATCAGGGGTTTTCTCACAGCAATATTACAGTTACAATATTTATTGACATCACGCGAATCATGTGAAGGTAACTTTTTATGGGAACAAAATTAAAAAAGGGAATAGGCAGATAATCAACTTTCAACAATGACAGCCAATGGAGAGGCCCGCCTCAGTTGTAAGTGATCATTTGTGTGTATTTTCAGGATTTACAGCTGAAAAAACTCACTGCCATTAATAAATAAGTAAACATTTTGAAATTGGTCTACATATTTGCAGATTAGTTTACACATTTGTGGATCTTTTTACACATTTGTGGATCTGTGTACACATATTCAAATAGTTTCTCCACAATAATAGCTCCATAACGATAAACAACTTTCCATCTATAGTACGACAATCACAAAATAGCATAAAGATGATTTGAATCACACAGCTACTTGCTGACTTTGCAGGGGTTACATTAAACCATACCCTTGAATCTACATTATTTTTGATTGGCTGAATAGGAAGGAGACATTTTTTTTGACATTTACATACAATGATAAATATTTGTGTGTGCATTGACAAATATTTCTGTGGATAGTAATTTATATAAAACATTGCATTAAAAGTTCCTTTTGTGTGCATTCATGAATATTGAGACTTATCAAACTCCATAGTTTTCTGTAGCTCTAATAGAGATCTAATTTGTGCTCACGCTGCAGTAGACATTTAATATACCTGAGCTGTCTTGAAAAGCAGGCCCCAATTGGTTCACTTGAGGTTCTTAATTTTCTTTGCAATATTAAAAATATTGTTCTAAATGCAGCCCAATCAGTTTGAACCCTGTATCTAGAAATGTCCCCAGCCCAGCAATAATTTGCATTAAGCTTGTATCATTAGAAACTTGGTAGTATTTTTGAATGGTTGTGCATCCCGCACTCATTTCCTCCTGAGACTGGAAAGATCTGTATTTGTTGGAGCTTCCGATGAAACAAAAATCATAATTTTACTAGTAGCTCTACGAGCCCCAATATAGCAATGAGGTGGCTGCTGCCGACAGGCCGGTCTTCTACCTCGGCAGCCGCAGCAGAAGACCAGAAGGCTCGAGCTGGGGCGGACTGGTGGTGTTGGTGCTCTCACTGTTTGTCTATGAACACAGACACAGAGTCTGTTTTCTACCAGGAATTTCCAAGATGCCAATTCCTTCAGGAAGAAATCTCGGAATCAGTTGAGATTGAAACTGCCGTATGTGTTTTAGTAAATATCTGTAAATAGAGCATCATAGCTTCAGTGGGAGTGGCCTGCGGTGCTGTGAATTCTGATATTTGGTGTCTTTCATCCACATGAGCCAAAAAGACACTTTCTGCCTTTTCTTGGTCAAGAAGGCACCAACTTCAAAATGTATTTCACATTTCTACTACATCCATGATTCAATGTCAATACAGATTCATGTTTCAACGAGTGAAGTATCCCTTTAACATCTTCAACATTAAGCATAACTTTATAAACCATAAATCCTTCTGCCTGTCAATGAGATTCTTAATCTCAATGAGGTTTTCCTAGTTAAAAACATATTCCATATGTACAGGGGCTGACCCACTGGGTCAGGTGACCTTGTGGATAATTGGCTTTAAGACCATATACCTTTGAGGTGGCTGTTGATAGCATAAGAGCACCTGTGCATCCCCATTGTCACTGATCATTTTGAATTGATCGTTTGTGTGAATTGAAAATGTGAGAGAAAGTGAGTTAGGAGAAGACTGTCTTTGCCACTTACTGGTGTGGAAGAGAGAGTGGCTGTTTACTCCACATATGCCCGCTGTTTTTCATGCTGTCAGCATTCAGTGTTTCTCACACTCCATGCCTTGCATATTATTCTGACGAGGGACTGACGCACCACAGGTTTGAAACCTAGCCAACTAATTCTGTGGATTGTGAGTACACAAAAATGTAAGTTCCTGGAGTATTAAGTTTGCCTGTGCTGCGCTTCTGTATTTAACCAGACTAGTGCAGCCCTCATGTTCCCTTTGGGCTCTTTGCTAGGGAAGCCTAGCTGACCAATTTTATGCAATTTAAGGATAAAAAAAACACTATTCTTAAAATGATGTACTATTTGCCAGCACAGCCCTTAACAGAGTCCCTCCAAGAGATTTGACATTTCAACACTCACATCTCATTAGGCCTTCAAGTGATTTTTTGTACCAAATTTAAAGCATTTCTCTAAAAGGCTTCCCTGAGATATCTCAATCTCACAAGTACAATTTGGGTGCCATATTAGGATATTATCTCCAGGCATTCCTTCCAGGCATTCTCCTTAAAGCCCTGTGATTTGTTGCATTGGACTGATCGGGCTTTAAGCCCTAACATTGAAATATAATGCTCTTTTCTTTACCTGATTAATCCTGAACTTGCAATTTAACATTAAAAATATTACTATTGCTATCTGTTGCCCTGTGTGCTGCAAGTGGGAACAAAAAACCACCTGTCACAATAAGTCTAACTATAGTCTGTGGCATCTCCTCTCAATACTAACAGCCCACAAGTGGAACAAAATGTTAAAACATATATCTATATATGCCTGCATGTAGTGTGAGAAACAAAGAAGAAGTCTTCTCTGTGGTCGGTTTTAGAATTGAAAGTGAGCTATACATGTTTTTTTGTGTCATGCTGTGGTTGACTAGATGGCTCTCTGGTTGTGTCTGGACAGCATCTCTTGTATATAAGCATTTATTCTGAAGTAGCGTGACAGAAAGATGTATGTGGTTTCAGTCAAAGGGAACCACAGGCACAGAAAACCTGCTGCAGTGTGGAAAGAGTGTTGTGGGTCTTCACAGACAGTAATGCTTCAAACATGCAGTCAACTGGAAACTGAGGCTTAAACAAAGAAGCAGAAGTTTAATGAAAGTTTGTATTCTTTAATAGTGCCATATGCAAGTTGTCTTTCTTGTATGATTGCAAAAGGAAAAATCATAAATATATTTATCTGTAAACGGCATATTAGCTCATATTAATGTTGTATTCATCACTGGCCGGTCTTAGCATATTTCATTAATTCCACTGTGAGGCATTTTTGATACATTTTCAAACAGTCCCAGTTTAAGACTGATGTACTTATTTGTCTAACGGACAATAAAAGTGTAGATAAACCACTTTATCATCAGCGTGTGCAAAAACAAGAAAAACATTCTCATAGATGGCTTAACAATATAGTGTTGAATTAGCCAATAAAATGAAATGAAAAAAATCTATTTGGTCTTGTTTATATATTGCAGAAGTTTTAGTGTAATATAAAGCTGTAACATGAAATTAGAATTCCCTGTCTCTTTAATTGCCCCTCCCTCTGTCCCTCTCTCTCTCTCTCACACTCTCAATCTCTCTCTCTCTTCTCACTTGCTCCTCTTTGCTCTCTCCCGCTCTCAATCGACTATTGTTCACTAATATTGTGTTCAGCAACTTCCCTGTTTGTCCAGGTAATCTGGAACCGGAGGACCGAGGGACTTTGTGTGTCAGATAAAAGCAGCTTTTACTGATCACAGGATGTATGTCTTCATGTTACTGTAATGGAGTTGCAGATGACGATCATCTTCATCTTTTTCTGTAAGTTGGCACAGTAAGTGATGCATGTATTCAAGATGATGATGTTTACCCCCGTCTTGGACAATGAGAAACTCAACTAAAGACCTTTCTGATTTCTGTTTGTATGAGAGGATTATTTCATCTAATGCACCTACAAACGGTTTTACACATCAAGAAAGTAATACAGAATTGATGCAGAGCAACAACATGTGTAAAATACACTTTAAAACAATTGACAATTTATTTATTTATTTTTGTCTAATTTGACAGTTGGAACAAACAAATTTGTGGATGATCCTTAATAAAAATATATAACAGTAACAGACCTACGGGAGCCTTAAGGTACACCTTTTCCATGATCATAAATCTGATTGCATGTCTTGAAGAGCGACACACACTGATGTCTGTGATGAAGGCAGGCGTCAAACCCGAGCAGAAAAAATACAATTTAAACTGCTTACATGATCCCGAAGTAGTGATTTGTATGTGTATGTAATGTGAGACGAGCTGACATGACCAAAAGTCAGGCCTCCACATTGTCCAATAATTACTGATAATATACATCAGAAGGGCAGCATCTATCTCTGACAATGCTTACTAGAAAAATAGACGATTAACTAAGCTTGTAAAAAACTTTAGCTGTTAGCTACAAAGCTTACGGCATTATAGTAAGATTCAAAGTTAATAACATGTCAAACATTTAAAAAGAAAAGATTTTAACTATTTTAAAAATGTAAACTAGCTATCCATCATTTTTGTTATTCCCAAGTCATTATCAAGATGTTTTAAAATAAAGGCTGTGATTTATCCATGATTTGGACTTGAGTCACAGTCTTGCAATTTATGCTCGCTCAACCCCTCTGGCTCTAGACCTTCCAGAGACATCCACCCTTTTAATGCTGTTATAAATATAGACACTGTGCAGTTTACCTCTTTCCTAACTATCTTGCATCTGACACAACCTTGGGAAGTTTCTACTCAAGCTTAATCCTTGATAGAGGTCACTGATCTCAAAGATCTGTACATCTACTACTACTTCATGGGGGTTCATGCAGGGAGGCATGACATTTACAGAGGAGGGTTGGCAAAGGGCTTTAAGGACCCACACAAGCGCTCTTTGCGCGACTAGGTACTATACAGTCCTGAAAAGGGTTCTCTTTATTAAAGCCAGGTTGTCTGAAATGAAAGTGTGACAGATTTCAAACATCCCCATGCAACTTAAATAACATGTCTTCTTCATGGTCAAAGTTATCAAACCTCTGGCGTAACTATTTTGAGACTATGGCCAAAATATTAATGATAAAAAATCAAATCTGCCCTTTTTGTGCCTCGTTGTGTAGCTTATTCACCTCTAAACAATTTATCTTTTACATTCTTTACATGCAGGCAGGAAGTCTAATCAAGTCCCCTCAATCTCTCAGTGGTTTAAGAAAAAAAATCTTAAACTGAAAAAGATACGGAAAAAGGGCAACTCAGAGAGGTTTTTTGAAAAATTGCTATTTTTTCACACTCAACACATTTCAACTCAAAATCCTAACACCAGGCTGAAGTTTATGATTGTCTTCTTACTTTCTTGCTACCTCTTCCTCTAGGCTATTATCTTTTTAGAGTTTAGTATTTAAATTTAAAATTGTTGT